TGATGAATATTATAATATTATTAATTACGGCGTCTAATTAAAATTCTAGATAGGCGCCGAGATATCTAAATCTGTAATTTTCATTACTGTCATTATCCTTCCCGAAAACCTATTCAATAACTCTCACAAACCTGCCTCCCCCCCCCAAAGAGATTGCTATATCTGTTTTAACAAAACAATCGTAGAGGGGGGGCATTATTTTTATCTTAATCAGATTATTCGAATTATCGCCAAATTATAACGTCGGGGTTACATAGGGGGATCAGCGAAGACGACCAAGGGGCAGACGACCAAACCGTTTCATCGCCTGCTGTGTCGAGGGGGTTGGAGGGGGGGGGGGGATAGCTTAGTTGACGACTGGCGACACCGCGCGTGTTTGTTTATTTCTTGCTTAACGCCAGAACGTGTGGGAGGGGGAAGGAGGGAGGTGTTTGAGTGGGGGAGGTGGGTAAAGGGGGTGGGGGGGAGGGGTTTAGTGGGGGAGGGGTTAAAGGTGTAAGGTGGATGAGGGAGGTGTTTGAGTGTGGGGGGGGGGGGAAGAGGGGGTAAGGGGGGAGGTGTTTGGGGGAGGTGGGATAGGGAGTAAGGGGGATGAGGGAGGTGTTTGAGTGGTGGAGGTGGGATAGAGGGTAAGGGGATGAGGCAGGTGTTTGAGTGGGGGGGGGGGTTAAGATTGGATCATGTGGTTTGTCAACATTGAAATGCCTTACTGTATCGGGCAGGTGTAAGGAGTGAAGTGAGGTGGGGGGGGGGGGGGGGGGGTAAAAAAAATTTTTTTTATAGAAACGAGGCAGGCGCTTGCTGTGGCGGTTTGACATCACTAACGTCTGCTTCAGGGAACAAAAGGACTTTTTTTTTTAAACAGAATTATTTCATTGAGATTGGTGTGTGGACATGTTATTCCCAGCGTGCTTGGCGAATCAGTTTTATTTTTATTTCTTCTAACCTGTTTAAAAAAGCAAAAAAAAAAAAAAATTCGATGATGGATTAACGTGTAACTTTAAACCACGTGAGTTTTAAAATTAACTTTTTTAAAAGCAGAATGACCAAAAAACTATATTGATTTTTTTTTAGTGTTGTATTAACATTTCATAAAGAATTCAATAATTGTTAAGTTGTCTCCCATTCATGACGTCTCTCAATATTCTGTTATTCCTTCCATATTGGCACACAGACAACCTCACACACCCCCCCCCTCCCTCCCGCCCTTCTAAAATTATGTTACAAATTATTATTAATTTTTATGAAATTTATGCTGTCACATTGCCGACCCCACCCCAACCCTCCCCCCATACTACCCTACCTAGGTCAGTCACAAAAGCCCAACCCCCCCCCCACTATACTACCTTACTTAAGTTAAAGTAACAAGTCAAAGCCTGCCCCCAAACTACCCTACCTCGTTATATTCACAGAAGTCACACCCCCCCTCCCCGTACTACCATACCCCTCCCCCAATGTTAACGTCACTTATAAGTATTCTAAATGCTACCGTATCAAATATTACACACGTAATTAGTCTACTACTCCCCCTCCCCTCAACGCCACCTTTACCTGGATAATGACGTGCGTTTAATTAAAAACCAGGCCTTAAGCATACAACACGTGTTTTAATACTAATTAAAGTAAAAACTGTGTGATGAAAAGGTTAACTGCATTGGCGCCAAACTAGACGTAACCTAATAGGTGGTGTGGCTGGGGGGGGGGGGGGGAGGGAGGAGTGTCTATCACGATTGAAATTCATTTGCATAGATACCGTCCGTATATAAAAATTATGTACGTAATTTAAACATAGAAATATCTAACCCTAACTAAACGCCAGTTTAAAGATTATGTACTTTTCCTTCTGTTTATTGATTTTTATATTTTTCGCATTACAAGGAAGCTGCGTCACTTCTACGTTACTTCTACGTCACTACTATGTCACCTCTATACTTCTACGTCACTTCTATGTCACAACTATGTCACTTTTACGTCACTTCTACGTCACTTCTATGTCACTTCTACGTCACTTTTACGTCACTTCTAGGTCACTTTAACGTCATTTTTATGTCACTTCTAGGTCACTTTTATGTCACTTCTAGGTCACTTTAACGTCACTTTATGTCCCTTCTATACTTCTACGTCACTTCTGTGTAAAAAAAAAAGAAGTCATAGGCTACGCATATATATTTATGTTCGATTAGCTTAATAACTAATATGGAAATTCCGATGTTTCAATTGGAAGGCAATAATTAAAGTGTGTGTGTTGGAAGTATGATGATAGCCTATAATGGCGATATCGGTTTCAATACTATTTTTGTATTCTAATCACCATAATAAGAAAACCCGAAAGTTTATCAGCAGTTTAAAATTAGTGGCTTGATGATGATTGCAGCCTGGTGATATCATCACTATGGTGGGTTTATCTGACAGCTGTGTTTGGTTGAACTGCTGGTAGGATCGGTGTAGTCGTATATGATGGACGGTTTATTTAGTGTTTTCTTTTAACTGGATAAGGTTAGTACATTGTCAGGTATAAGGGGGTCGGCGTGGTAAAGCTCATGGTTGCTACACCGAAAAAGTCTCGAGTTCGAACCCTCGGGCAGATTAGGTTCGTTAGCTGGGGACAGCCACTCTTCAATGAGAGAAAACTCCAAAATTAAACAACTGCTGCCTTGTAGTTTGTTCTTGGTTGGACAAAAGCTATGGAAGTAAATCCAAAAAAGAAAAGCAGGCTGAAATCGGAGTCAATGGCCTCAATGGCGCAAAACCAGTTGACACGTAATCCTTAATTGTGATGGAAGCATGGTCGAGTAGGCAAAAAGCTCATGGTTGTTAATTTCGAAAAAGCCTTGAGTTCAAACCCTCTGGCAGATAAAGCTCGATCCCTTCCAACACAAAAAATTAAGAACGAAGAAGAAGAAGTTGGGCATATTATTGTACTGACGAGAAGAAGAATATGTGTTCACGTCAGACTCGGGGTGAATATTTTCGTGGAAGTAAACATTCCTGTTAACTACTCATGTATGTACGTAGACGCTTAGTCTGTTTGATTTTTGGTAGTTTATCACTATAAAGAACCCAAGATATGACAGATGAAGTAGAGTTAATCTGTTTTTAAAAACTTCGGCATACAAGTTAATAGTGGGGTCAGCACTATGTCTATCCGATTTTGAGTCAGGTACCCACCAGAGCTGGGTGGACTCAGGGACGTTGTACTGATTTGAACCCCGGGATCAGAACTCAACACTTTCTGGTTAGCAGTCGTAAGCCCTACCACTCAACCACACCGTCCCCTGCTCTCACCCTGTGGTGTAAGATAAACAAGTCATATGGACACAGTCGTGGAAGTTCGGGGTAAACCATTTAAAAATGGAGATTCTTTTCCCAATGATTTTTTTTCTGTGACTTTTTTCTTAGACATCTCCTCATCTATATATGTTAAATACAAAAACCTTGAGCTCTTGGCGGCTTCCCCCCTTCCCCCCCCCCCCCCCCGTGGTAACGCCAAGGACGATAAAACGTATATTGCCACAACCTAAACTGACAGAGGAATGTGAGCTTCGAGTTTTTAAGAGACGTGTTGCTATGGAGATTAGCTGCCTCGTACACGTGAACTAAATAGTACGACTAATTTACTGTCCTTTAGTACACACGTTTCCATAGCAACGCTAAGGTTCAAATACGTACACTTGGGTTCCCCCCCCCCCCAAAACTATGACAATACACACACATTCTATAGTGCAGGACATTAATGGCTCAATTAATCAATGGCGATTGTCCTTTAAGATAGAGGCGATAAAAAATCAAAGGGGGGTAAGTGTTTTCGTATTAGATACTGGGGTGGTTCGCCCTTGGTCTAGCCTTGGAGATAACGTCCTTTCATGTTCTGATTCAGCGCTTAACACAAATTTTATAATCACTCTCTGGAATTCGGTTTTGCCGATATGTATCGTAACAGTTGAGGTATGTTGGCTGTGTCAGTCTGAAGTCGGTCTATGCTGACTGTTGTTCTACCTCCTAGACAGATCTAAGGTCAAACAGAACAATAGACTGTATTGTAGAAGTGTAGCAAGTTATTTTCATAAAGATTTTTCTCTTCGATTTAATCTTTGAATCAAGAATACCAACGTGGAGTTACCCTTATTCCCTTATTAGACGCACATATTGTTATACTAAGCCATTTTTTTATCACGTATATGTCAGTATATGATGACACAGTTAGATTAGTGAGGATCGATATATATATATATATATATATATATATATATATATATATATATATATATATATATATATATATATAATGCTACTTTAAAAATTAAGTTTAACTCATTCATTCAGTATATCTCATACTTTTTAATGGTAAAAACCAAATAAATTCCATTCGACAATAATTTTTAAAATGATGAAATCGACTAAAATAATCCAAAATATTTACCCTGAGATGTTTTGTCTAAGATCTTGTATCTGAAATCGTTTGTCCTGATATATTTTGTCCTGCTACCTTTTGTCCTTGTAATCATTAGTCCTGAGATATTTTTTTCCTGAGATCATTTGTCATGGAACCAATAATATATATATATATATATATATATATATATATATATATATATATATATATATATATATATATATATATATATATATATATATATATATATATATATATATATATATATACATATACTAATTTAAAATTAAATGTTTGATATAGGCATTTTAAAAGCTGCTACATTTGATGTTCTGTACCAGCTATCGACGGGTTACTTGCTAGTTAAATTTAAATCATTTATTTTTTTTTCACCCCGCGATCTGCGTGTTTACCGCTGTTCTTCTAATCCGCCCATGAACCGTGAAATTTGGTGGTTTGATGTAGAGTGTAAGGGGGGAGAACTGCAATCCATCTGTTTAAAAAAAAGAAAGAGAAAAAAGAAAAGAAAATAAAGCTGTTTTTACCTGGGTTTTTTTAAGAGACTTTCCATTTCACAAACTAATTGACATATTTTTTTTATTTGCAGATTTCTTTTGAATTCATGAACTAGAGATGCGGGGGTTCACAAATTCAAGGGAGTTAATAACAGAGGAAGATTAATTTTAAAAAAGAGAGAGAGAGAAAAAAAAAAAGAAATAATAATATATCGAAAGTAGACTTGCCTTTTGAATTCGTTAACAGGATATTTTTTTTTTGTTGTGGTTGTTTTATTCGCTGGGATACAGAAAATAAAAATAAAACATATTTTTTTTTGAATGAGAGACGGCTAGTCGCCCAGGATCAGAATGAGTCGACGCGCTAGCCTGCTCGCCAAACAAGAGAAGAGGAAGCCGAGGGTGAGGTTCCCAGACGAGCTCGTCTTCCTGGACAACATCAAAGTCAACGACATCAAGGCCTGCCACTCCATGCTCAGGCGCGCCAGCGTGCAGCTGGATATCAATGGACTAGACACGAGCGGTGAGTACGCACCGGATTGTACTGGGATTTCCCGATGCAACTATGGGGATTTCCCGATAAAAACAAGACTCCGTCGGGATTTCCCGATCGCAACAGTATTGTACTGGATGTAGATTGTATGTCCTTTTTGGGTTGTTTTTTTTAAAATCCCGGCAGGTCGGTAACCATGGGAACCCGTCACCCGAACAATATAAGGGGGGGGGGGGGGGTGGATGGGGAAGTGGCGGAAAATTAACTAAATCATAGCAATTGCAATTATCTTCTGAATAATTAGTCATAATGAAATATTGCAGCATTTAATTTAGTCTGTCAATTTTGAATCTTATAATTAAGGCAGCGAGATATACTATATCCAGTGTTTCTTCCAGACTTTTTTCTCCTGAGGGGGGGGGGGGGGGGGCAGACGCTGGTAAAAGTATTTGTTTTCTATATAAGTTCCATTTCGTTCAGGGGTGAAGGGGGTGGTAGACTTTCTTAAGGGGGGGGGGGGGGGGGGGAGAGTGCTGAGACCCCCCCAACCCCGAAGAGATGCCTGGAAGAAACACTGACTATATCCACGGATATAGTCAATCTTCGGGTTGGACAGTGGCGTCACTAGGAGGGGTGTCACCCTGTGCAGCACTTATGGTGTCACCCCACCCAGGTCGTTGACTGACTTATTTGTTATTGAAAATTGTCAACTCAACTTGTATCTACTCTATGCATTTAGCAGTTGGTGTCACACCCCCCCCCCCTCGGGTGATAGCTTTAAAGTGGTCAAAGTTAATAATAACGATGTTTATCCGTAGTCGGTTATTAATACAGCTGGATGTTGTAGCATTGTTTTATCTATAGTTAGCAGGTTTACGTCATGGTGTCGCCCCCCCCCTACTTGTCGGGGTCGTCAATTTGTACTTAAACTACTTTTTTAACTCTAATTAATTATAAATTAAACTAGGGAAAAGCATATATATATATATATATATATATATATATATATATATATATATATATATATATATATATATATATATATATATATATATATATATATATATGCTTTTCCCCCATTTAGGTTCGCACACCCCCCCCCCCACTTTGCGACGCCTATGGGGTTATGACAAGGGTAGAAAAATCAGCAAATATACTCGAATACGCCTTCCTCAAGTTTTTAAAAGCATCAAGTTACATTTGTAAAACTTCGTTGAATGCAACTTTCTCAAAACTTAAAGCAGCAACATTTTTATTTTTATTGTAAGCCCGGGGATATTTTACTTTATTTTTAAACATAGAGAAAACAAACGTCATAATAAAAGCCACGTTCGGATGATTTGTTTTCACAGATTGCGTCCTATCACGTAGAGGATCAACTCATCAGTTTACCCTTCAGTTCAAAATCTTGTATATAGAAATCTTAAAGAAAAGAAATTTTCTTATTAAAACTCCGGCTTTCAGGAGATTCCGGTTTTTTTTAAAAAGTTTTTGGAGGCGTTAATTCGAAAATTTTTGCTCTAAAATATTTTCACCTAGTGTTTAGAATAATATCTAAATTAAGCAAAAAAAAAAAAAAAAAACAGCAACCGTGATAACAAATGCAAATAACGGGGTAAAGTTTCTTTTCGAACCTGCCGACCCACGGGGCAGGTGAAGTAGAGCTCACCTGTTTTTGTGACCTCGGCATATGAAAGGATAGTGTGGGTTAGGTACCCATCAGAGCTGGGTGGACTGACCTTGAACCCGGATTTGAACCCGAGACTTCATGGTTAGCAGTCTAGCTCTTTACCGCTAGGCCTATCCAGCGTATATATATAACATGCTAAAGTTAATCAACGGATAAGAAAGACATTCTCATTAAAATTAACAAATTTGTGTTTTTGGTGTCACCCCCTTAGATGGTATTACCAAGTGCAGTCCGCACCCCTCGCTCCCCCCTTCTCCAACCCCCCCCCCCCCCCCCCCCCCACCCGGCTTTTGAAGCTACTGACTTACGTGTAGCTATTTTAGGTTGATGAATTTATATACTTAACACACGACAGTAGGCCTATGAACAAACAAGGTGAACATTAGGTTACTAACAGTTTTATAAGGTCATTAGGGTCAAAAGGTTACCGTCGAAAGTTGGTTTGAAAAAACAATTCGCCCGTGGCGTTATACGATTGGTTGAATTAAGCGCATGTCCATAAGGCATGTGTCACAATTTGAAGAGACCGGAGTTTACTATCGGAATTGTAATCACTTTTGATTGACATTATCTGGTGAAGATTTATTAGTTCTGATGTGCTCTATTGTTGTATTAAGATACGAGGGTGTACTTGAATTTTGAGATGTTGGGCTATTCGTTAAGTTATTTGTGGTATGGTTGTTAGTTGCTGTGTTATGGCGTATTAAATAATTTTCGATGAAGTGGGAGATGTTAAAAGAAGGAGCTTGGGTTAAGGGTGAAGGTGGGCAAGGTTTTTTTTTTGTGTTGGTGTTTGCGTCAGGTTTTCGGTACGGTTCGGGTTAGGGGTCGTCCATAAATGACGTCACACTCGTAGAGGGGAGGGGGGGGGGTGTCCGTAATTTTGTGACGGTGTATGATGAGGGGGAGGGGGGGGGGGGGGGGGTCCAGATAGTGCGACGTCACACTTTTGCATTATAAAAAGCAATGTTAGAAAACCAATTTTAGACGTTATTTCGCGTTTAAGAAAACTGTTTTAATAAATTGTAATAGGAATTGATTAAAATACTCTATTTTGACAGAGTTCAGACAAGATTTTAGAAAAATAGTAATGTTTAAAAAAAAATTCAATTGCAATTTTGACGGGGTTGTAGTCTGAAGTGTGACGTCATTTTAGGGGGGGGGTTGGCTTTTTGTGACGATGTGTGACGGAGGGGAGGGGGGGAGGTAAAAATCGTCAAAAAAGCGTGACGTCATTTATGGACGACCCCTTAGGTTATGGTATTACAGATACCATAAATATTTGCTCTATTACATAGGTTTACTATATATCGCAACTGGTGGACAACTAATCACTTAACAAGTTTTGAAACTTCAGTAACTTTAAAAAAAAGCCGACATTAAAATAAAAATAAATAAATAAACATTTTGTCCTTGAAAATATGGTCTATTTTTAGGTTTTCGCACCGGAAGCGGTGCGCAAATGTACCGTAACTGACACTTTAAAACACCCCAGCTATCGACATGGACGCGTTCCAGAACAATACTACACCCTGTCCGAGAATTATCCCCTCTTTACGGTATACACTGTGTATGGGTTATCTCCCTTCTGCAGCTCAAATCTCTTTGAGACAAGAGTTATCTGTTCCTTGTGAGTAAACGCCCAACTTCCTGTTAGCTGGGTGCTTCTTAAGACTTAATATTGCTCTCCCCTGTTTTGTAGTGTGGAGTTTAAAAAAAAAAATTACCCCTGTAGTGAGGCTTAGAGATTTGTCTGGCAAGAATTAGGCTTTGATTCCATGGCAAATATAGAAAACATGGGCGTTTTGAGGGGTTTTCTAAGAGTGCGGTTGATCAGAGTAAATTGTGTTAATGTGTTGAAAAACGTTGCCGGGGTGGAGAAAGGGGTGTTGTGTTCTGTATGGCGGATGTTTTTGAACCGAGCTACGGACATTAAGGGGTGGATTTTGTACTTGATTCCCCAACTACCTGCCTGTCTGCCCGATTACCTGATTCCTAAAATACCTACCTAGCTAACTACCTGCCTCTCCAACTACCTGGCTGTCCAACTACCTGTCTGTCCTACTACCTGACATTCCAACTACCTTCCTCTCCAACCACCTGCCTGTCCAACTACCTGCCTGTCCAACTACCTGCCATTCCAACTACCTCCCTGTCCGACTACCTACCTGCCCAACTACCTACCTGTCAAACTACCTAATTCCCCAACTACCTGCCTGTCCAACTACCTGCCTATCCAACTATCTGCCTGTCCAACTATCTGGCTGTCCAACTACCTAATTCCCCAACTACCTGCCTGTCCAACTATCTGCCTGTCCAACTATCTGGCTGTCCAACTACCTAATTCCCCAACTACCTGCCTGTCCAACTATCTGCCTGTCCAACTACCCAATTCCCCAACTACCTGCCTGTCCAACTATCTGCCTGTCCAACTATCTGGCTGTCCAACTACCTAATTCCTCAACTACCTGCCTGTCCAACTACCTGCCTGTCCAACTACCTGCCTGTCCAACTACCTACCTGTCCAACTACCTAATTCCCCAACTACCTACCTGTCCAACTACCTATTTTCCCAACTACTTGGCTGTTTAACTAACTGCCTGTCCAACTACCTGCCTGTCCAACTACTTGCCTCTCCAACTACCTGCCTGTCCAACTACCTGCCTGTCCAACTACCTGCCTGTCCAACTACCTGCCTGTCCAACTACCTGCCTGTCCAACTACCTGCCTGTCCAACTACCTGCCTCACCAACAACCTGCCTCACCAACCACCTGCCTGCAGTAATTACACCTGACCGTCCAGCTACCTGCGCCATCACCACAACACACAAGACACAGCAACCCACCACTCGCCATCCAAATATAACCCCACTACAGTCGAACCGGTGCCAAGTCAAATTAAACCCCCACCTGGCAAATATCCTACCGTCTCGTGTAATAGGTTTGAATGCTTCGCGTTTGGCCGCGGCTCTGCGGCTCCCGTCTGCTAAATCAAGGTATCCATTTATTTACTTTTGCGGCTAACAATCGTAAAGTTGCGGTACGGGGAGTGACGTAATGAGTGACGTAATGATCAAAGCGGGAGGAAAGGCCAGGTGGTATTCTGTAGAATTGTCCCCCCCCCACACACACACACACTCATCGGAGCCATAAAACCTGTTTGTAAAAAATTTCGCTTGATCTCGCTGTAATCGTGATCTAGTTTACATTTTAAAACAAATCAACAGTGTAATTTTACATTGGTACTCGTAAAAAAAAAACCAGTCTAGTATCGTTTTGAATTTTTCTTTTACCAGTATCGCAGTAAGGTCGGCGTTTGAATAAAGGTTAGGGTTCGTTT